CAACAAGCCATCACTAAAGCCGAGTACCAACATGAACAACTTAATGACACTAAATTTAAAATTATTCGTTAAACATATTTCTCAGTAAGACTTATGTTATTTTAACCAACTTTGTTAAAATTGTTTGAGAACAAAGTGTCGCGTAATTTTTTTGACCTAAAAGAGAGGACGCCGGAAATAAATGTGGACTTCTTTATAAAAAAACCCATAAGATTAAACAAAGCATGAAGATGTAATGGATGGATCAAGACAAGTAGCTATGCTATGAGGCTGTTAACTAGATCTGGCTAAAATAGAAATTCAATGGCGCTCTTGTGGCCACGGTATTGAACCTTTGGGCCTTTACAAGTCAGTAACATTCTTGACTAGCAGTGCAAATATTAATTTCACAATATTTCACTACTCGTACGTGGATTTGTCTGGCACAGTCATGCAAATTATGAACTTGTGACGAAACTTTTGTGGTCTGGAAAAACTGATAGTTTTTCTTAGTGATAATTATTCCAGACGACGCTTCCATTTTTCAGTGGTATGTGCATGTAAATATATCTATGGATGTTCAATTGAGTCGTAACAATTAAGGGATATCATTTTGTTTCTTATCTGTGGTATGATCAGCGTTGCTTTTTAATTTTTGTGTCCATAAGAGTTCACCTACATTACTCTTTTTCTACATGCCACTTCATCTACACTAACTTTGTTTACATTTTCTTGCCTACTGTAATTTTACAAAATTTTCTTCGGTATTCTCAAGTTAACCAAATTCAGTTCACATTGTTCACCGCCCTGATGGAGAACGTAGGTTTGACAACATGAGAAATTAATTTCTAGTTAGTTCAATAGAAAATACACGGTTTCCTTTGGGTTGTCTGAATTATATTTTATTAATTATAGTTCCCCACACGTATTGCGAATTACCAACATAACAGCGTGATACTCTGCTAAAATCCTAATCCAAGAGCAAATGTAATGTAACCTAATTGTAATTTTAATATCATACCTAACTCCGAAAACTACATTGCCCAATAAAAACTAAAACCCCAATTACAGCCTTAACCTAACACATTAATACGTAATTGTAAAGAATACGTTGTCAAAATTTTGCCAACGTTCAAGGTTAATGCAAAAATATGGATCACCAGCGAAATAAATATATTATACATACTCGTACTGACATAACCTACAATATAATTCCACGCTAGTATATTTCTAAATCTATGTTTGTAGGTATAATGTATTATTTATTTCTTATTAATGTTTGGGACCGTCAAGAGATACAAAGTTAGAAAATCCATAGATCACAGACGATCACTGATCATTTTGTGTGACGACAAGACGCAATGGAAAGCGTTCAGGGTTTTAAGAATGGCGGTGCAGGGAAAAGTGTTTAGAATATGTTACGGTATAGGCCAATATCGTAACATTTTATTGAACAGGTAAACAAAGTTACAGTTGTGTTCATATAGTCTAGAAAGAACATTTTGTGCTCTTGATATTTAAGTGTTTTAATTCTGGGTGTTCATTTAGAATAAGCCAAACCTAACCTAGTTAGCTGCACACTGCAAACAATGCAAGTGATAGACTATGGACTGGACGACGGGGCTCGATCCCCGACAGCCTCTGTGTTGAGACTGGCTCTAGGGTCCACCTATTCTCCTGTCCAATGGGAACCGGGGGCGAAGCGCGGATGGGGCGTGACGCTGACAATACATCACCATCTAGTACCAAGTTTAATAATGAGTTGGAGCTATACTGTTTCTCCCCCCTAAGTGCCTACATGGCGTGTAGAACGACAGCTTTACTTTTTTTTTATGCGTCGGACCTGTAATTATGATGTTGTTTACCTGATACAACCAAACCAGAATTATTTCACTGAGAATATTTGGTGTGTCTTCATAATTTATTGAGCATAACTCATGAATAAGTTCCTAGTCTATGATCAATGTATGACAAGATTGTTATGGCTACATAAGGTATATTTATGTTGATAGGAACACCACATCATTTTACCAGCAAAATGCAGGCCTTAAAAAATCACTTGAAGAGAAATTGGGATTGCCACCAAAACCTAAGAAACCCCTTACACCATATTTTCGTTTTATGGTCCAGATTCGACCAAACTTAGTTCAGAAGAATCCCCAAGCAAAAGTAACAGGTAAGATATCTTCTAGAATTATAGATATTAGGTTAATTACTATCTTTTTCATATTATAGTTGTGAAAGTTTTGGATTATGCACAGATATTGTGAAGCTGACTGCACAAGAATGGGAAAAGGCTGACATCACGGTGCGGCAAAAGTTAGAGGCAGATTATAAACGAGAAATGGTTGACTTTACAGCAGCACAAGTCAAGTATAACAAAATGTTAACAGATGAGCAACGTGAAGAAATAAAGCTGGCAAAAATTGACATTGCAGAATCAAAAGAAAAAAGAATGTTGAAGAAGGTAATGTCTGATTTCATGCACACATATGCAATTGTATAAACATAAGAACTGCATAAGCACTAGTTTTAGTTGTTTGCTTTCTAAAATGAATTATTGTACTGTAAACCTGTTGGAACATGATATATGTCTAAAATAATATACCAGCTTGTATTTATACATTTCCAAAGACCTTGTATTCATCTGAAACTTATAAGGAACACACATACTTTTTATATTTTGATGGCTTAAACATGTCTTCATCTCTCTTTATTCTATATATTTTAAAATGTAATTTTTTTGTGCAGAAAATGAAAGAGTTGGGAAAGCCAAAGAAACCACTTTCAGCATTTTTGTTGTTTATGAATGAAAGGAAAGACAGACGTGGAACTCAGCCATTCAGAGTAAGTACATGTACAACACAGGAATACCTTTTAACACATATTTAAATACCTTTAGTGTAATTACATGTTGTGTGGCTGCAAGCATTCATGGAATAAAATAGAATTTATTTACAGTTTATGGAAGTATTCAGTGATCTAATGTTTCCTTAGAAGGTGAATGAAAGTATTTTTAAAATGAAACAAACCTTCTTTGTAATGTTATTTTATTAATTTTAAACTTATATCTTATAAATCTATAAATTTTTGTTGATAACTGCAGAGTACTGTGTGTTTTATCTACTTCCGATAAATACAGTAAGCTTGCACATACCGTTTGCATGGTTTTGCTTTTTGCTCAATCAGTAATTTTATAATGAATGAGATATGTATTTTTCAGACAACTTATAATTAATTTGGATTCCAAGTACAATTCTGAATTGAATTTTGTTTCCAGGAGACAAAATTTTATTTATTCTGTATGGTTGTGAAACTTAATGGGAAGAAGGGTTTTTCATCTGTAATACAACTAATGGATTTCAGTTAAATGTGGTACTTGGAAAGGGCCAAAGGGATCTACTAAAAATTGTTAGGCAAATATTTTAATTTTAGTTCTTATTGGTTAGTATTATCCCTACTTAATATGAAAATGAAATCAAACACCATGCTTTCTTTAAAATAACTCATTGTGCAAAATTGGTGAATGACAAATTATGTATCTTGTGGAGATCAGGTTTTATTTAGAAGTTTTCAGCTTGATGAATGTTTAATGAAATATTGGGGGGGGGGATTTATGCAGTGCGATTAATTTTTCAATAGTAGTCTCTGTTTGCTATAAATGAATAGATGCACATAATGAAGATGTGCAGAAATATAAAAAATGCATTTGGAGAATATCTGTACTGCACACTGGAATACATCCTTCCAATCTTGTTATAACAGTAATGACAATTCAACTTCCATAACAACAGGGTATTTGTAAAGCAGTGAAACACTTGTGTACTGCGTAAGGAAGAGCTTATGCTATCTTACATTTTCTTTTCTGCACAGGATTGGCAAGTAGCCATGGGAAATGAGTGGGAGAATCTCCCTGAGGAAGAAAAGTCTCAGTACTTAACACAATATAAAAAAGCATCAGAAGGATATAAACATGAAATCCAAATCTGGGAGGAAAAAATGATTCGGCTTGGACACATTGATGTGGTCCGCAATGAAGCTTTGATTGAACCTAAGGAACATAGTACCAGAGTGTCGCGGAGACCTAGAGGAAGTGAACAATAGGGATTAGAGTGTCCCGGTCCAAACACCCTGCCTTCATGCTCAGCTGTAGATGGAGATATGCCAAGAGATGAAACTAGTTTATCATCCCAAGATACTGGAAAGCTTATGGGTCGGGACACAGAAGTCACAAAGTTGAGTGTATTGGAAGATGACCAAGGCACATTGCCTAGAGAAAGCAGTAGTGAAGTAGTGAGCACAGAAACTACTGAAAGAAGTAGAAGTAATATGTTGAATGCTACTGATAAAGGGAAGGGAGTTGAAAATAAACCATCTGGAGAGTTGAAAAATATTAAAAGTAAGTTTCAAGATGGTTATCGTAAGCACGTTGTTATAACAGCTGGAGTAGTTATAGTTATAGTTTTCTGCCTCAGATTAATTCTTTAATTTGAATTTTTGACTGCATATAAGTCACCAGATCTAAATACAAAATAATGTGTGAGAGTGGTGTGTTTTTACTATCATATGTTGCTGAGATGTGACAGCATGAAAATTTCTGATACTAATTTGAAAGCTGTTGAATACTTGTAGAAGAAGGTATGTACTTTCTGTTGCATGTATGTGCGCAGGAGTATCCTGAACAACTTCCAGTGTGTGCAGACTGAAATACACCTTGTGCAGGTATGTTTGTGTAAAGATGTTGAAACAAAAATTTGTATGGAAATTCATACTAGTGGACCACATGCCAGTACAAGAAGCCACCTCAGTGATATATGCCCCATTATTTCAATTCCAGATCAGAACCACATAATTAAGATTGTATTGCCAGATGGATCCAGAGTCTAAGCCATGTAATGATAAAATATTTAAACCAGCATTTTCTCTTGCAGTATGGATCAGTACATTATACTGGAACCTCTTTTCATAAAGTAAAAAAGGCTTATGAAATTTGTATAAAGGTACTTTTTCATAGGTTTTTTTCCCTTTTGTATCTGGTATTTTAAAATATTTATTTTGATGTAAATCTTAGAAACCTTATCCCATTGTTGCACATTAGTATTGGTGCCTTCCCTTCTAGGAAAATAAGGTACTGGTTTAAATCACAAATATGAGTTTGAATGAGCAACCTTGTGGTAGCTATGTGCTAACTCATGAACTATCAGCATGATGACACCATTGTCTGAAGTTCTGTGGTGAGAATCATCATTCATCAATGTTTCCATGAAGGTGGACGGACAGACAGACGTTGCCATTCTTTATTGTATTGTTTTCTCTATGTTGTATATTGTATCTGTTTTTTCTCTATGTTGAAGTGGTTTCTCATAGTTTATGTTTGAAATGAGGTAGGAATTTTGAAGAATGTTTAGAATATTAATTACACTTGATGAAGCTATTCTGATTGTAATTGTCACTCACCATATTGACCCATCTTGAGAACTGTATAATAAAGAGAAGCATGTCACTTGGTGACCACATGGTCCTTAAGTTATATTGTTACCTGTAACTAAAACATGGATTAATTATTTTATGGGAGTCAAATATAATCTTGTCTGATAAATTGAGTATTTTGAAGTATATAACTATGCTAAGACATATTTTCTCAATTTATTGAATATTTTATTTCATAATTTTTATTGACAATAACCATACAGAAATGTTTAACACTCATCGTACATTGATGAACACACATAAGAAATACTATTTACATTTCAAATCAGTCATAGAATTTTGTATTTGAGTTTTGAAGTGCAAATATTTTTTTGTGAATAAACAAATTTCATGTGCACTATTGATTATAAAAGAAATTTAAATCTGTGTTTCATGCTGGTTATGTCACCTTCACCAATTGCATTGCAAGTCAATTAAGTTTAATTGAAGGAATGCCTATCTTCCTTACTACAACTGGCTGAACACTTATAATGTAGGCACAAAGGTAAAGTTGCCCCTGTGCCTAGACTTTCAATGTGACAGCATACAGATCCCATAGCCAGCCCTTGACAAAGAGGAAAATTTATTTCCCTGTTGGCAATCATACCAGTTGTCCAACCTGTAGTCAGTCACTTTACTGACTCAGGTATTCCATCTCACACACATAGTGATGAACATATTATAATTGCTACATGGAAAAGAGTGAAATTTTAGAGGTCTAATCCCACTGGTCTCCTAAGTCTGTTCAAGAAGTTTTATATACCTTGTCCATAAGTCTGTATGGTGTTATAACCCAGAAGACCAAGAATGATGTCCACACAGTTTTGGCCCCTTGGTCCTGCCCCTACATCTATTTGTAGAACAGCCCCTTCTTGTGCAGATAACAATCAAACATCATCTTGATCTGTATTGGCTCATTTTAAATTGCCATGTTCCAAAAATTTTCTAGCATCAAATGTAGACAAGGAGAAGAATCTTTTGGACATGTCTATCCATGAACTACAGACTGCTTACAACATAGGTTTTCAGAGGTACAATTCATAATTTTTTATTGTTCCAGGTTTTTACAAAATTATGGATGCTGTTGTCGTGCAACCTTGGATATATTTGTGGGAAGTAATAGAGGAATTAATGTGAACCCCATATTAAACTTTTTAAACATTACTAATTTGAAATCTTTTATTTTCTAAAAATGATTTTCTATTGTTACTTTTTAAACTTCCTCATTTATCTTTGACATCCAAAATGTTCTAAACAGTATATATACAAAAACTTAATAGGCAACCATTTCCTTATAGTTCAGCGGCCAGTCTTTCACAAGCCTAATAAGATTACAAAACCAGAGTTGGTCAGCTTTGCAACTGATATTAATTTATAAGAATAAATATACACAAATATTGCATTGTTGAAAAATTGTGCACACCTTCTAATTTGGTGTTACATGTGTCAGAGTAAAAAATATATTACCACAAACAGTAGATATAAGTGTTTTATTACATTATGTTTTGACTTCTGCCAATGTAGCAATTTATTTATTAAACCTTTAAGATCTCTGGTAGCAAAAAGAACTGAATATGTCTTTTAATAGATAAATCTTATAAAAAAGTGTAGAAAACATCCGATTATAATCACAGAAAGGACATGTTCCTGAAGAAAAAAGGTCCACTCCCATATATATATATATACACACACACACACCACATTTAACACAAAAAAGCTCTACACTCATGGGAATGCATGAAATTGCCTTCAACCAGCATACTCCCAAAATTTAAAAACTATGTTCTACATTTCTTGCCATTACTAAGATTGCATGGAATGTAACAAAGGTGAATAAATAAATACAAGTATCCTGCACAATTAATGATAGCATCTGGATACAGTTCAATATCAGTGTAACTTTATGTGATGAAATGCCACTAAATAACAGAAAAACATCAAGCAGACCTGGTGATTGCATTTGTTGTTTATTCAAACGTAGCCATAGAATATTAGTCATCTCCACCACACATAAAGGTGCCACCAAGGACTGTAACAAAGATTGCCATGGTAATATAATCTGGGAATCTTTTGGATAAGAAAGCTGGAAAACTTGCATCAACTTTGATACAATTCGTGTAGTGCTCCTTTCTGATATGTTTTTTTGGGTTGTTAGGATAATTTAGCTTCATTTAGTTGATTTTAATTTAGTATGTCTTTTACACCTGGCTACTTCCGTCTTCATAATGTTGTATTACTTTCATCTCATCATTGTGGTATAAGATTTAGTATTAAACAACTGAAAACATCATGAATTTAATCACTTGTGAGTGTTCCAATCTTGTTTTCTTATATAAAAATTATGTTGCAAAAAATATAGAATCAATTATCATAATTACAGGAAATAAATCAGACTTATAAATGAAGACACTTAAATTTATAACACATGTAAGTAATGGACACTGGGACTCAGTATTGAACAGCCATGTTGTAGATTTAGAATTCAAATACATTCTAAAATACATTTTTAAAAAATTCTGAAGCAAGTTTCCCCACCAAAACACAAAAAGGATATCTGAAAATAATGCGTGGATTACTAAAGGTATCGAAACATTTGGCAAACAAATGATAAATCTCATAACAAAACTTCACTATGGCAGATATTGTAAGATACCTATTTAATTCATTAAAGAGGCTAAACATATGCATTACAATACAGAGATGACAAACAATAAAATAAGCACAGTCTGGAAAATAATGAAAAAGAAAATGAAATATACCACAGACAAAGTGACCCCATTAATAAAAATAAATGGTCTTAAACTTAAATTAGAAAGAACATATTCAATGCATTATGCCTAAGCTCAGCATGCTCTGGTATGAGGACTGTCACATCACTGACCAAAATGGAAACCTTTAAAATTAGTCTCCTTTACTTCCATTCTATCGTGATACGAAATTATTTTCTGGAAAAACTCTATAAACAGCCAAGAAGTATTTTGAATTCAAAAGAAAGCCTTTACAATAATGGCAGGCACTAATGGGGGAGCTTATGCTGGGAACTGATAAAGAAATTTCACGTCACATACCTGATGCACGATTATATTAATCCTGATGAATTTTTAGATTCTTCAACTTCATATAAACCCTTCATAATAATAATAATAATAATAATAATAATTGACATATCTTACCTCTCCAAATATAAAACCATAGTCGATGATATACATTATCCTCACTAAAACTGCAAGACAAATTAAATGCAATTTGGCAGCATACAGAAAATAAAAAGTGGATGGAGCAGAAATAGCTGCTTCCTGATCTTGAAATAATCCACTAGTTGTGCTATGTGTGTCCAAATATTTTGGGACATCGGCTTTACTTTCCATATAGTTGATCTTTGCTTTATGTTCCAGACTACAATAATCATAATGAATTTGAGTACAATCAGCTGCCAGTTGCACTGAGCCATTTATCATCTGTCGTGAGAATCTGCCGTTTTGGAATTCTAATGAATCATCTTCAGTGCTGTACGTCACTGCAAAATGAAACAATTTTCTGTAAGAAATATTGTCTGCACATACCCAAAAGGCGAACACGTGTTAAATAAAAGCAACAATTCACCAAACATAATATAGAATTTATATATTACCCTTCGATATGTTGTCACTCCTTCCAGTTATTTTTTGTAATCTGTTTTCAGAATTCTCCAAAATACGTCTTCTTCTTGCTTCTCTCCTACTTGATAAAACATCATTCGCCATATTTTCTTACAGACTTGCAGTCATGTCATCTGCTGGTACATAGATAGATGATATTTTGTGCACTAATTACAGCAGGTCTCTCCTGGTAGTAATCTATGATATTCTCCAAGGTCCCCTAGGAAGGTTAAATCAACAGCGGAGTTTGAAGTTCGTTATATACGCTCCGTGGATCCCAACCAATGATTCTACCTAGTAAGGTCTACCGCACACGTAACCGTCGCTGTCCGTTTTGTCGTCGGCTGAAGCATACGACCCATAAACGACACGACAGTTCAGCCCATGAGCATGCGTATAAGTACGACTAAACAGTCATTCTCAAGTAAGATTTGATGTTTTCACAGCGGTGGGTATGAAGATTTCTGTCTTCTGGGTTGTTGGGCTGTGTAGTCTGGTGTATGTGTATTTGTTTGAAATTTTTTCATGTTATCCACTACAAACGATAATAGTGAGAGCAAGAATTCACTGGGTAGTGGAAGAATATCAAACTTCTTACATAATTCCCTACAAGGGGTTCTCGTTTTAGTGCCTGCCATTATTCTAATGATCCTCTTTTGAATGTAAAATACTTTTTGACGTAAATACGTCTATATGGAAGGGTCATTCCGCAAAAAATTGACAGTGGAACCACGGTTCCGGAGAATTTTACGTAAATACGTCTCTCTATTTAATTCATATTTACGTCTGTGTAATGTAATGTAAAGTAAAGTAAAGTAATGTAATGTAATGTAATGTAATCTTCAATGTCATCCATCTTGTTACGAAAGCGGATTGTTGATGGCAGTAATATAACAAAACAATTCCGAGTAAACAGATGACGTTTCCTAGGTAACATATAAAAATGCACGCAAGCTAACCATTGTTGTCGATTTGTTGATACGGATCTTACACATTTTCCTTTCACTTTTTCGTTACACTGTTTTGCGGAATGACCCTTCCGTATAGACGTATTTACGTCAAAAACTGTTACGAAAAAGTGACAGAAAAATGTGTAAGATCCGTATCAACAAATCGACAACAATGGTCAGCTTGCGTGCATTGTTATGTTACCTAGGAAACGTCATCTGTTTACTCAGCATTGTTGTGTTACATTACTGCCGTCAACAATCCGCTTTCGTAACAAGATGGATGACATTGAAGATAACATTACACCACTTTACATTACATTATGTTACAGAGACGTAAATATAATTTAAATACAGAGACGTATTTACGTCAAATTCTCCGGAACCGTGGTTATACTGTAACTTTTTTGCTGTCCATTGAATTTCCACAGAAAATGATTCCATATGACATGATGGAATGGAAGTAAGCAAAATTAAAGTTTCTGTTTTCATTAGTGCTGCAACTGTCCTCATAACAAAACATGCCAAGCTTAGTTTAGGGATAATGTATTGAATATGTGTTTTCCAGTTTAATTTGTTGTCAATTTGTAGGCCAAGAAATTTAGTTGTTTCTATTTCCTCAATTATTTTATCATCATACCCTATATTTAGATTTACATAAGTTCTGTTGTTAGTAAAAAATTTCATGAAATTTGTTTTGTCAATATTTAATGTAAGTTTGTTTGTAACTAGCTACTTACAACTCCTTTCCAATTCGTTATGTGCCATCATTTTATTCAAAATTATAGAGTTTTTGTTATTGAAAAAGCATTGTCAAACTACAAATAAAATATGTCTTATGTTGCTATCATATTTAGATATTTTCACATCATACAGAAGGGGAGAGGGAAGGATGTTAGTATAGCATGCTTAGTGCAGTGTCACTGTGTCTGTTTTTCTTGAACACTATGCCCAGAAAACCAGAGCGTGTGGTAGAAAAGCAGTCTTATTCTGAATCACTGTACTAATATTATTTCACATATCACTTCATAATACTTCTAAACCACTAAAATGAAACCTTTCACATATAGATTCATGAAAATTCTGTATTACTGGAGTGATATAATTTGTTTCACTTCATAATACATCTTTTGAACCAAAGTAATGATGACTTTTCATATATAACATTATCTACTGATATGCACTTTCTCATATTGTAATTTTTGACATGTAACTTTAATATGTAGCATATACTACACAAAAATTAACCCAAACTAATATCAGTGTTAGTTAACATTATACCTACCTTCACAACCTTCATTGCAGTGTTAAATTGTACCTTTAAAAATCCTTTTATTCTAGGTTATTTCCTTCATAAATGCCAAGTTTTAACACTGCCCATAAACAATCTGCTGTAATACTTCCTGACACCTGTTAACTTTGGTTGTTTAAAATTGAAATAATTTTTCTTTAAATATATCTTTTTATTGTGCTAGTCATGATTGCACATATTGTGTAATATATTACTTCCATGCTATAAAATCCCATGGTTATTCATTGACGTATTATCTTACAGACTGAAATGAATACTTTTGTTTTGATTTAAAAAATAATGAAGTTTTTTCAAGTTTGTGAGGAGACTTTTTTGGCTGGTGATTATATATACACATGGTTTTATTAATGATGATTCCCTCTTGTCAATAACGACAACTCAATACTGCACACTGTTCAAGAAGAGATATCTGCCAGTAAAAGTAAAAAATCAGTATGAAGAAAATGAATGGTTAACACAGGCCCTTCAGTCTTATATCACTATACATTATAAACTTTATACAAACTAGATGTAATCTTTATTCTGACTTGAAAGTATTCTCCTAAAAGACTCAGTTGATTAAATACGTAAATATAGATATGCAGTAATATGTAGGTAAATCCATCACGAGCCTTATCAGCCACAGTAAACACGTGGTAGTCACCTTACAGATAATTTAGCACCATCATATGTAAGATTGTGGTAATTTTATTTTCACCACACTGAAGTTTCATCAGAACATGCTGTTGCAAAAAAGACTTCACAATAGGTAGACTACCACTGTTGAACATGTGTGTGGCCAGGACTTTAGTACAGAACTGTACTGCAATAACTCCATCTTCTTCATTACAAATGCACGGTGGGTTTTGATAGTTAGTAGCAGAGAGACCGTTCTATCCTGCATTAGCCACTCTGTATTGGTCTGGTGATGAACTACTGTAGAGATTCCATACTGATGATTGTGTTCGTGGACTGCGTGATGTTATCTGGAATTCAATTGGTAGATCGTAACACCGACATACACAGCATGATGGAAACTTGAACCAGTCAGAAAATATGCCTCGACACTCATTGTTGGGATCATAAGCCAGCAGTCGATGCAGTCGGTATTGCTGTTCACAGCGGCACCCTTCACGGCAGAACATCTGTTTGTACTCAAAACTGCAATGCAAAAACATTGCATTTAGTTCTACCAAGCATTCTGACTTCAGGAACCTTACTAGTGTTAGATTGGCACATATTCTCAAAATATAGTTCTTATGGGAATTTATTATTCCTCTAAGTTGATTAGATACAGAAAGAAGTTACATGTTATAAAAGGATGCTCAGAAGGAGAAATTATAACAAAGTTCAGACTCTAAATTTGAGAGAGTGAAATCATAGGCATTAACATTGTTTTTATATAGAACAAAATATTGAGGAGGAGAAGGGGGTGGCCACTCTGCAACCCACATCCAACATCCCTGATAAAGTATGAGATAAGTATTTGTGTAACTTATACACAGTTAACAGTAGTAGTTAAGTGAACATATTAAACAAATGTCTCTACATATCTGCCAGCACAACCTACAATGACATAATAACACTGCTGCATCTAAATTTTCCTTTCTGCACTTAACATACTAAAACAATGTAAATTAACTGATTAAATGCCAAGATACAGGAAATGTAATTGATGCAACAAGGTATTCATATCATAGATAAAAGTCAGTTATAGATATTGTGCTAACCCTTCACCATAAATGTAGCATACTAAGTATTTTTCATTCTTCCAAATGGTACTCACAGCTTTTTGCCTACATATATTTGCTGCCTTTCATAAATTTTGTTGATACTTTGGTGTATGATGTGCCACATTAGCTAGATAAAATAGAGGAAATTTTCTGAAATTTAATTGTTGTAGTTTACATCAACAAAAGCTTGCCACAGCATATTACCCTGGGCCAACTCAATCTAGATCACATAATATCTCAAATCTGTTTCAATTTCTGTCAGCTACATAGGTCTCCCAAGTTCTCTTTCCTTGAAGTTATGTGACCAAGATTTCACATTTCTCATTCCTGAACATACTAGATGTCTCTCCATCTCAGTCTTCTTTATTTAATGATCCTAACAGTATTAGGTGAAAAGAATAAAATATGATACTCTCCACTGTATAATTTCCTCAGTTTTCTGTTAGTGTGTAGAAGATGGAGCAATAACTGCTGCCATTTGCACATGCAAACAAAAGGAAAAATGTTTAATACTTACGTGCATTTTTCCCAGTGGACATACTGTTCAAATGGATAAAGATTAAGCAAGGCGAGAACTTCCCCACGCGTGTTGTTTGCCCAGAATGGTGCAACAACTTCCTCTTTCACTGGACAAGCATTTCTGAAACAAAATCATGGTTTAGATACAGCTTTATGGTTGCTCTTGAGTCTTCTACTGATAATTTTTTTTATTAAACTGCAACATACATAATCAGGATTAAACACTTCCTCCAGTTTGTGATATATTCTTTTTTGCACAAATGAACACTAAAGAAGCTAATGTAGCCCAAGTTCTGTATGTTCATGCAGTACAGAATTCAGACTGTGCTGAGGCTGTCCTTATATACAGAATTTTCATATTTGTAACAGACAAATATGCTGTTCAAAAGGCTAATGAACACTGAACAGATTCTTGTTTTTATATTTTGTTACATACACCTTATTGAAAAGTGTTCCAGATGTAAGTTATGGGTTTTATGTACAATAAACAATATTTCAGAAATCTGATAAAGTTTTCATAATACAGTAGAATCCCGATTATCCAACCTTTGGTTAATCGAGATTTGATATTAACCAACAACCAACTTAGCATGTAGAGGAATGAATCACACTCCCTGATCACAAACCTTTTACATTTTTGTATTGAGTTGCTACAAATGTACTACTGTTCAGTAATTGGCATGACTGTAAAAAAAAAGAAAAAAAAAGAAAAAAAAAAGAAAAAAGAAAGAGGGGGGAGAGAGAGAGAGAGAGATAGAAAGAAGAAGAAGAGATTGGAAAATAAATATCCATTACTAATTTTGAAAAAATAAGCTTTTTCCATTACAAATTTACATGATGTTAAATACTGTTTTTGTTTGTGAGATTTTTTAATTTGACCCCATATTATATTTTATTTGTAATTTAATAATATTGTAAATTAAGTTTGTATTTACTCTCATCTTTATCATAAGTTCTCCGTATTATCCAACATTTTTGATTATCCAACCATTTTTCAGTCCACTTTGGTTGGATAATAGTATTTTGCTGTGCATTTGTTTTCTTATATGCACAGTATTATAAATGAGTGAATAAATAAGAGACGTAACCTAGAATCAACTAGGGAAAATGGCAACAAAAACTGTGTAGGAGTTGGTCTGAGTCAGCTGAGTTGCAGGGAAAGAAGCAAATGGATTCAAAAAGCAGTGATAACTCATATGTTCATACATGTAAAGAGGACATTTGTATCTAATTAAGTGGGTTACAGTGAATAATATTCATAACTCTGAGATGTCTGTAGCTCAGAAATTGACCACACTATCTTACTGTATACTTACACTCCCCTTAACTTGACAGCTGCACTTGGAGTTGACTCACTACTGCTGTCTGCCTGCTGCTGCTGCTGTGAATCCTGAAAGAGTTCTGATTCAAAAACCTTCTGTGTGTGTGTTGTGGCAGTAGTGTTTTCTTCACTTGCAAATTCTACAGTTGTGGCTGTTGGAGGCTCTACAGTTGATGCTTCTGTTTGTTCTGTACTAGTACAAGGTGTGGTGCTTGGGTCATGAGACTGGGTTGTGTCTGCAGCAGTGTTCAGAGTCTTTTCTGATGAAAGAATACTTGAACTGGTAGAGAGATTTACAGTTGTCTGTTCTGAGGTTGTCTGAACTGTTGTACTGACAGGAGCGGTTGTCTTGTCTACCACCAATGTGGTGTTCGGAGTAGATTCAAATGCCTTACTTGTAACAGAATCATTGTTTTCAGGGTTTGGAGTTATTAGTTTAGGGTACTGAGTGTAATCTGATTTTATCTGTTGAGATTTTAAAGCATTTGTGACCTTTGGCATGGAGGCAGTGGTAGATGCAGGTCTAAAGTAAGGGCTCGTGATGTGATCCTTAGAAGATGTCGTAGGTTCAGATGTACTTGCGGTATAACGTCTCCGCACATCCTCTTGGAATTTCCATTCACTTGTGTACTCCACATCATTGGACTCGATTTCTGCTCTGAGTACCGAAATGTGTCGCTGGTCTCCGTACATTCTTCTCATTAGTCCTTGGTTTTCATGAACGAATCGTCGAACAGCACGCCTGAAAATATGTCATTGTTTTCATTTGTATTACTTAAAAGCTGTACCTAAGCACCATTTTGTGAAGACATGATGCATGTTATTTTGTTTAAAGAGTGCATTTATGTGCAGTAAATCCCGCTTAAAAGTGTCCAGCAAGTGAATGTACGCAGGTAATGAACTGCCCAGTTAGAAGTGTATATGTTAAGAAGACTGACTGGCTGAATGTGCTAAAGGATGACACAACGGGATATACAACGTCTGAATGAGGAAACATCAAGGAAGGAAGTGACTTGTAAGAACTAAATACAGATGGAAAAGGTATCTTACATAAACAGACTGAACAGATTCTTATAAAGGTCCAGTGGTAGGTCAATGATGTAAAAATACCAAGGAGTTATATGATTAATTCTGTCTATATCTGATCACAATAGATGGCTTTTAGTGCAGACCTTGCAATACCAAATTTAAGCTAAATCTGTTTTATGACATGACAGATGAAACATACAAACTGACATGATATCCCCATGTGTAAATTCTGTCTTATTGTTAAGAATATTAATAAATTTTATTAAAGTAAGTGAAATGATAATCCATTACTGTTCACTTCCAATGTTTATGCAAAGGATGCAATATAGCAGCAGTGGATATTACTTACAAGGTCACTCACCAGGGGTAAGCACTTCCAGGAATGGTACACCATGACTGCAACCGGAAATCGCACGGAGGTTCTGGAAATGCTTTAGACATACGGTAAGGTCGTGAACAGGAGGTGTACCCATCATATCCATAAACAAACATTATCAGCCCAAGTGTCAGCTACAACAAGAAAACATCTGTCATTAATGAATGGGTTTGAGGCTCAAAATATATACAGTAATTATACATTGGAATAGATTATAGCATTTACGAATTTTTAAAATGGTCTGTGTCACTTGCAAATTATAACGTGCATTTACACCTTTGTGCCTGCATATATTTATCATTGTTTCTCCTAAACAGATTTATGAAACAACGCAGAAACTCATATTCAAAGCAAGGAACTAGATTTGTGCTTCCAAGGTTGATAACTACAACATTTTATTTGAATTAAAAATGTTCTGTATTCTAAATTATTTATAAAAATCATTCTCATTATTGAAAGTGTGAAATGTGCAATTTTCTCCAAGAAAAAAATATAATACATCAAAACTGAAAAATGTTCAAGTAAATTATAAACATAAATATTACAATATGCCATAATCGAAAACATTCTGATTTTGTTCAAGGTATTAATTTCACATATGGAAAAAGTCGAAGACGTTTATCATATAATTGCATAATTTATGACCACACAACAGGTGGGATATATAACGAGGGCATTGCCATAATGCCTTACATAATTTCCCATAGAACATTCTGTACATAACATGAGTATATTGGCTCTTCAGCCCGGGTCATTTGAGTGGAGACTTACGTGACACAAGAAAAAATTACCAACTTGATTCCTGCACAAACCATGTAAGAGTTCTTTGTTGTTTTCTTTTTCTCCACTGCATTTATTACGTAAAGCTCATGATTATGAGTGCTGAGATTGGAAGTGGTCTATCTGCAGCATTAACTCAGAGAGATCGATGGCAATCACGAAAAACTTCCCGAACAGGAAGCATAAGTGTTGGCCATTCAACAACGACGTTCGTCTTAAGTTCCTCTCTGTTTCCCAACCTGCATTATTCACTTTCAACTTTTAATGCTCCCCAATGCTCTTGCTTCTACCGCACTATAAGACGTGCCCCCGATTTCTCGTCTTTCTCCGCGACATTTGACGCTAACCTTCCACCTACAGGTCATGTGCACCCAGCTTGAAAGTCAGTCTCTCCGAAGCCCTAGTTTATGACAGGCCTTTCACTTGTGACATGTTTTAAAACTTTAATGTAGGTCATTGTATTGAGGAGTTGGTGGTCAAACCAACAGCGAAATGTAGTCAGGCCCACAGGTCATCTATGGTCGTATTCTTATGGTTGGTGGAGACACGTCCATTCCTTTTCCTTATTTTGGCCTCATACTCATCGACGCCTATGTGTACAAACGTGAGTAACGGTATCACATTGTATAGAGTTTATCCGGAAAAGAAGCTATTTCTCGTATGACAAAACGCATTATTAGCTGCACAGGGAATTTTCATAACAAGAAATGGGTCTTTTCAGTCAACGTTTAGAGTTCTTTCCGTCTACTTAGCAAGCACAGAAATAATTCGATCAGTTATCTGCCATGCAAACTCAAAAAAATTATATTTTATATTAATATTCTTTGTGAGGTACTGGTACGTATGATATGCATACATGATGTTTCTGTTGTTAGCTGTCATTTTTATTTTGGGTTTTCGATCGAAATCGAACCAGGAACCCACAATACTCTTTAACATCATATGACAATGATTATATCGCAATCCTCGCCTTATTTCCTTCAATCCAAAATCCTATGACAGTCTTTCAGTTTGAGGTCTTTTGTCAGACTGAGAACGATATTCAAGATATCACACTCTAGTTCATAACTAAACTGAGTTCATATTAAAAATTGGAGCAAATAATTTTCAGTTGCATCTGCCGTGTTGAACGCTGAAACTTGAAAAACACTTTCCAGTTCAGCGTCACATCGAGTCTCACAATTGCAAAATACAAACTAAATGTTTTGGGCCTGTTAAGAATTTGGTACATCACAACAAATAAACCGCAGAATGTCAAATATTCGACGTCCTCAAGAACAGTTTCTTACACCGCAAGGACTCTACTAAAGATAAACTTATAAACACAAAATAAATTTTTATATGGCCGACTTACCAGAATATGGCACACTCCTGGTTTCATTCCAGTATTCCTCCACCAGCCCGGATCAACACGAGAAAACACTAACCACCGCAACTCCTAACACTTATCAACACTAACAAATTGAGTTGTACCAATCTTCAGCATGATCCACAACCACTACCCAGCAAGTTCTCTGCAAGCTTATTGCCCACCAATCCACAAGAGATTGAGGTTTCCGCATTACCGTAACACAAGAGAAAAAATGAGTATAGACGGAAACTGGGTCAGTCAAACTGGCGGTGGGGGAGGTCAGGTACCGTTAGCGAAGCCTCTGCTGTGGGGATGTGTGTCACGACATACTATGAGGCCCGTCACAAGTTCAAGAGTAAACAAAACAGCGGCAGAAGAGGACAGACATACTTTTAGATTGTCTGATACGGCGCATTAATATGTCCACCACTTTCGCTAGTGGGCGGAAAGGGTAGATATTTTCAATGGAATGGAAAAATTATTAGTACAGTCGAGCTAACGGGGCTTGCATTGCCTTTTCAGTCAGCTGGTACAGCTCGGATATTACAGGCCGGACTGGGATTAAATTCTCAGAAGAAGCAGTAATTTTTCTTTTCATCACTACATCCAGACCGGCCTTAGGTCACAACTAGCCTCCTATTCAGTAGGTTCCAAGTTCTCTTTCACTGGGGGTAAAGCGGCCGAATCGCGCACCTGAGAGCTCACTTACGTCTAGAGCCGAGGACGCGTGGAGCTGTAGCTCTACGCCCCCTCCATAAATATTAATGGCATGGAGGAACAATGAAAGTCTTAGTTTTTTCTGATGGCAAAAAAAAACACCAGCATTTTGCTCTGTACTAAGCCAGTTTAATCAGTCCAGTTCTGAAAGATCCATTTTAATATCATCATTTACGCCTTCAGATCTCAGGTTGTATTTTCTGGTGATTTTCCGCCCGAAATCCTGTATTCCTTTCTCGCCCCACACCCCATTTTTCAACTTTGTTTTAATTACCAACATATTAAATGAACAGTACAAATTATGAGGTTCTTCATTAGCTGGGGTTCTTATAACTAACTGGCTCGGATAAAGGATTAATCCTGCAGTCACCAATAATTTACTTTTACAAATTAGTCTAGATCTATGCTGGTATTATTTTATATTATTTAGTGTTCTGTCTGACGACAGGTCCATATGAACAGGATCCTTCCATCCTTTTCTCGGACTAGGACCTGTTCATATACGTTCTTGGCAGATGATCCAGAAGTGGTTTGCCATTGCCTTCTTCTGTGTGTGAATGGAGTAATTGTTGGGATGCCACGGAGAAACCGGGGAAGAAGCCCCCGGAGGAAAACTCCGTGTTGCCTAGACCACGGCCTTGCCCAACACAAGTTATAAATTCGGGCACCCCGGGAATCTAACCCGAGACCCCAGGATTACAAGGCCAGCGTTCTAACCGCTAGACCACCGTCTATGCTGGTAATCTATAATAAAGACGGACGGGTTTCTGCCATTCGATTATTTTTAAAATTTAAGATGGATAATTTCACATAAAACATAAATATCGTTTGCTTATACTACTATGACCATTTAAATTAAATTTTTATTGTTTTCTCGATTCAAAATGTTTAAATATAGAAGTTTTTCATAGTCCAAGATTCTGATAATCGATCTACTTATCGAAATCAATCTGAACCAACATTTACAACTTTAGATTTCCAATAACGTGCTGAATATCCTACTATAGGCCTAACTATCTAAGAATGCTACCAGCATTCTATCTTCAGGAAAGAAAAAATTAATAAAAATATGCATAAACATATTTTAAAAGATACAAAGAGACGTCCTCTGTTGCAGAAATACTTTCTGAGCAGTCTGTGGTGAAATAAACATGGACTGCAAAACACCAAGACCAACCTGTCCCAGAAAAACAGGTTCTCGTATCAACCAACCAGCGTGGAGAAATGGGAATTTTCTCTACCGCAGCTTCTACGGTATAATAAAATGGCTTCTTTTCTTTCGTGACAAAATGTGTGTATGACATTTACATTAGTCTGATAACAGTAAAGACCAATACCAACGAAACCCCACATTCAAGCAATTTGAGATGTCCAAATTTTTCAAAGCATTCTTGAAGGCAAGGCTTCAGCTGCTTTTATTTAGAGCGAATTCTGGTCAATGTTTGAACCCGAGACTTCTAGAATACATAGCAGATATTGACCAATAACTGCGCCGTTCTGTATAAGAGAAACCTACATGTCTGTCTGTAATGGAGGTCCCGTTGTCCCAACAACCTGAAAGTGGGACGCAAATTGTCTGGGTTTCAGGCGTCTTTTCAATGCTGAAAGTGAGTCAGTAAGGTATAGATATACCGGAAAAGACATTTGGAGCCAGTCCGTCATAACGGCAAACGTAAACATTCAGTTTCTCTTACTAATAATCCTTCGGGCTATTTACAGTTGTCAAAGACACAAGCGATGTTATTCCTTTTGTCGAGAATTTCAAAACTGAGCCGAAGAAACTCTTTCACACAGAAGATATCGTTAGCAAAACTAGTTCTTGTATTTCCGTAGATGAAACTAGACGGATTTACATACTGACTTGCTGGAAGACTGACTATCTCACAAATTACTGATTCACTAACTGACTGGTCTGCATCAACTGAGCCAGCTTCAAGCACATAGCAACCTTCTTTATTTAACTGGTACACTAACACTACCAAAAGAGAATGTTAAAATTGGCCCAGAGGCACATTATTGTAAGCACAATAATGTACCTTCGGTTTCCATAGAAGTCGACAAATTTCTTGATCAGCAGAGCTAATATAAATTTCTCAAGGACTCTTACCCAATGAGCCAATTATCTACGCCTTGATTTTCCACACTTTACGTGCCTTTCTTTGAATAATTCCTAACAAAATTGTGTACTCGTTTCTTGTAACACGTAAGTAGCCAATGCTACTTACGTGTTATAGAGCTCTTTATTTTGGCTGGTGATTCCGGTAACAACTCGTACTAACACACACAATTTTAGGCCGTGTAAACACCGGATTGCAAGTAAAAATACCTTTTTTGATGCCCTTGTGAGGGTACTATCGACTTATCTCAAACGTAAGCAGTCTTACGGTATCTGTGAATATTAAAAAAATTCAAAAACGAGAGGCCACAGTCGTATAAGATAAATAGAAAGGTTACTAGAAAAGATATATATATATCATGAGGTTCTTAGCTGTGTAATTTTCCCGGCCTACAGTTCTACAGCCAATGTTCTTCACAGCGCTTATGTTTGGATTACTTTCAGTTTATGTTTTTAGAAATAAGACAATAGGTCAAAGCAAATGACATTCCAAGGAGTAGCGACTGAGAAGTCCAAGGCCGAAGACGACGAGTTGCATAAATCATGTCTGCGAATACAGAATGTCCCAACAAGATATATACACACATTACATGAATGAAATAAAGACATTTTAATAAACACCATTATATACGTCAACTATGCCATAGTGAATTAGCAAATCTTGTGTAGGTGTCCAAAATTACCACCGTTAGCCGTAGCACAGTTGGCAGCAGTGAGCAACTGATTGACAAGCGGCCACCAAAGTTGCTGCTGTGTCTCAAGCTTTTTGGGGCAGGCTGTATGTGTTCCGCACAGCGGAAGAGAGAATGACTTTTGATCAAGAGGCCAGAGCGTCTCTCTAAAGAATTGCTGGTCGAAATTAAACATGAACATAGGCAATTTGAAACACTATACGAAATAAAATTCTAACCTTCGCTGAATGTTCGTCTATTTAACGCTGCTAGTTAAACCGCAGAAATTATTAGAGCGTGGAATGAAATGGGAAGATTATGAATGGCTGTTAGGTAAACACTTCGCATCGCATCGTTGCCTAGTGATATCGACTTAAGATTGTGAATTGAAAAAATGCTGTAATGTAGTAAACACGGAAAACGCAGAGCTGGACTTTGACATTGAAAAAAAATTATCATCAAAGTGCTGTAGATAGGACAGTCGGCGCAGGAGCATCACCCAGTACTTACATAAGCCGCGTACACTGTGCTGCGAAGTGCTAGGCGTATTCATTCCATAATGCTGAGGCAAATTTTCTTTTTAATTGCCGTCTCACATTTTTATTATGGGATATATTACGATTTATCATTTGTGACATTTCCACCTGCCTTTCACAGAGGTGGTTTTTTCGACTCAATAAGCAGATTCAAGTATCTCACTTTCTGGAATATGGTAAGACTTGGCATTCATATATTGTACACGAACATCGTACAGATGTAGAATTTCGGGCTCCCGCGGCGTCGAGTATGACCGATGGCTGTCTTCTGGGCTGTCGCGCCGTATATTCTGGTAGAAGTTTACCGACGTTAAAGTGGTACTTCCTATCTCAATCATCAGGGCGACTCATCGTCAACCCAGAAGACAGCCATTTTCATCTTACAGATTTAATGAACTCTTAAAGCTTATATGCAATGGTAAATATTTTACTTGCAATTGAAACCTTACATACACACATGCATACACCTACATACATAAACATGCGACGACACGCTATGCTACGAGCAACTTATTTGCATTCTTATATATCACCATTGTCAAATGTCACTTACATGTAAACAACGGAATTAGGCGAGATTTAAACCACAGCACAAACTCCCAAATATGCATATTCACCACGGAAACATTAACTACAATACTGCGCGTACAACACGTTTTCAAATTCCCCACTATTTTAATATAGTCTATCCAACACAACAATTATAAAATTCCATTAATAATATTAAAACTCACATACGTAAAATCATTCGATGTGTGGTAATACATTTCATACGCCTACCATAATATGCCAATTACATTGAAATATTATACTCAAATATTTGTTTACGAGTTTCGTATTATGTATTACATTTATAATACATTTTCATGTGTAATGTTGGCATAACCTTCGCTGTTAGCAGACAATTATGTCGAACAGCTTGTCTGTTATGCCAGTTCCATGAAATAATATATGAATATATACGTTTGCAAGTTTTATGTCATCATTTACAATAGATTTCCGTGTGTAATGATGGCCTACCTTCGCTACTAGTAAACAATTATATCTGAACAGCGAGGCTACTTCATGGCCGGATGTGCACTGATGATGAGAATGTTGTTGCTGTGGAAACAGAAAATGTTGTCTTTTTTTTTGCCTTCCTGTTTTCCTTGTAACCATAGTAAGACAGACATGATTTGCAGTAATTGGTGGTAGTGCGTTAACAGAATGTCGAGCAATGTACAGAAGGAGGAAAGCCAGAATAATACAAGTGTATATAATGTCATAAGGGCTTTAATTCATCTTCTCGGCGTACTTCAGTTTTCGTATAGTGTTTACTATGACTGGAATTACGTAGTTATTCCAGTTTCAGCTAGTCGAATGGGATCTGGATATGGTGGGAAGTTGCAATTCCTTACATTCTGGGATGCGGTGAGCGTGTTTGAAACAAATATTAAAATAAACACATTAACAATCGTTACATTTCCTTAACAGCAACAGGGCTATTGTCGGATGTCCAATTTTTACATTATTTGGTTCCTTTACTGCTGTACAGTATCAAATTGGTTAAATTACAGCAAGCAGCAGAACAGGTTATGATAACCAGATTCTATTCACGAAATAGTATGTAATGCTTCTTTTATTTTACAGATACTACAGTCAGTGTACTTCACCATTTGTCTACTAAATGATATTATTGGAAGTAATGAGATAAGTATTAAAGAGAAGCCTCTCATTCGCAAGATTAAGGACTACATGTTTGCATCTGTTGCATTTCCTGTGGCAATGGTCAGTGAATTTTGTACTGATTACTTACAAGTATATATAGTCTTAGTTAATGAATATTGAGACAAAACTGTATATTTCTTTTCAGTTTGTGGGTGTAACATTTTGGGGTCTCATGGCAATTGACCGAGAGCTTGTATTCCCAAAAGCATTGGATCCATTTTTTCCATCATGGCTAAATCATGTAATGCACACTAATATTGTGATCTTTACATTACTTGAAATGGTCTCATCATTCCGCACATATCCAAAACGTTCTACGGGGCTCACTGGACTACTGGCGTTTATGGTAATTTACCTCATCTGGTAAGTTTTGTCACTTGGAGGAAATATGTGCTTAAATTTTGGCTAGCCTTCAGCCTCCAACCTAGGATGTAAGATTATTTAATATCATACAGTTGTGCAGAGCAGTGTTTGCTTCTTTAGAATGATTTGTTTTAGGACTCACAATGAGAGAAAGGTTAGGGTTTAGGTTAAAATTGTAGGTATATGGTCTAAGTAAAATTAAATTCTGTAAAAGTACAGAAATGATTCCCAGTCACATAATGTTTAATGCAACATGCCCATAAAACTTATTAGATTATAAAAACCAGTAATCTGAACTAACCCAACCTGTTCCTTCTTAATAACCAAATGACTTAAGGCCCTACAGTGGGGATAGATATATAAAGTCTAACTATGATTTCATGTGTGTGTGTGTACTGTTTTCGTGTAAGTGCTTTTTTTTATTACAATGGGGTTAGACCATGTCTCTGTGCAACTGTGGCCGCTAATCGGCCCATTGTCCGTCCCCCAGATGATACATGAGAGAATGTGGAGCAGCGATGGAATGATACTGACAGGAAAAACCAAAGGACTCAGAGAAAAACATGCCCCAGTGCTACTTTGTCTACTACAAAACCCACATGGACATCCCTGGGAGCGAACCCGGGCCTCCTTGGTGAGAAGCCGGTGTCTAACTGCCTGTGCTATGGCAAAGCTTGTAAAAGTGTTTTAGAAAATACTTGTGTATCCTGACCAATAGCTTACAGTTTCCTTACAGTAATATAAATTTGTAATGGTAACAGTTTATACTGGAACCCTAATGATGTAGTGTCTCCTTTTACTATGTCTGACAGATTATATGTGAAATTGATTTTGTTATACTTGTGTATTTATTTTTATAATATCATATTGCTTGTTTCAGGGTTCATGTGATTTTCTCAAAGTCTGGTGTTTGGGTATATCCTGTGCTTGACGTTCTTAATTGGTGGCAGCGAATCATTTTCTATTTAGTCTCTCTGTCCTTGCAAGCAAGCCTGTACATCGTTGGAGAAACTCTTAATAAAGCAAAATGGGGTAAAACCTGTACTTATTTAACATATTCAATACTGACAACGTAAATTTACATTTTTAGGGTCATCAGACAGTTATAATTTTAAACTGGTTCAACATTTATCAGTATCAATTAATTGAAAACTAAAAATATCCTTTGTCTTGAGAAATATCAACTACTTAAACTAGCAATAAATGTGTAATTTAAAAGCTGAGTAATTATAAGATTTGTTTATGAAGCTTTACAATTACATAACACAAAAAGGCAGAGTAGTCTCATTTGGAAGTTTAAAAATCCAGAATAATAATAGATGATAATTACCCTATTATCTTACCTTATAAACTGTATAAATAGGATAATGTTTTTGACATTGTAAAACTGTTGATGAATTTTTGGCCTTATGGTATGCAAAAACAGCACTGTTATGAAGGCCATATGTCCACATTTACTGCAACATGTTTACAACTTAAATTTGTTTTACAGGATTGTTCACCCTAGTAAATACATACAGGCTTTATGATATTATTTTTACAAATATTTTCTGCTTTATTTATTTCAGGGAAAGTACAAAAAGAATTGGAGGGAAGCAAACGTCGCAAGATTAAGTAACTGCATATGTTATGTCATGAAGAAATGCTGAATTATGATTTGTTGTTAGGGATGTAACAAAGTGCAGTGTTTTGTTGATATAGCAATTAAACAGGTGTGAGGGCCTTAAAATGAATTTTGTTTTCTATCACTGTAATTCTATATGCATGGGGTTTGACTGTTTTACGTAGTATTCAGTCACCCTCAAAAATAATTTTATAATGTTATGAGAGCATTTAACAGTTGGTCATTGAGTAGAAACATATTAA